TTTAAATTTTATAAATTAATAAATATTAATATGATACTAAAGATGTTAAAATTAATAATTAGAAAATTAATTCTAGATTTTAAAATATTGCTTTAAAAGTGTTGAAATGAAAAACAAATAGAAGAAAAAAAAATGGAATATCAATAGTAAAGATAAAAAAATGAAGTCAAATAGTAAAAAATGTAATAAGAATAATATAAAATTAGCAAACTTCATTACTAATAAGACTAATTAGAACAAATGAAATGATTTTACATTTCATTGGGAAGTAGAGGTAGACTCTGAATCTGGTCAATCTGGTTATCTTAGAATCAATCCGTCAAATAGGCAGATTTGGATTGATCAGATAAATCCGTCAAATAGACCGGATGGATAACCAGATATTATATGGGATTGACAAAAAAATTTTCTTTTTAGGAGGTCATCTAAAGTGAGGGTAAATCACGTGATTCAGTATAATTTTAATTAGATTAATTTTTTATAAGAAAGATTAATAGAAACTTTAAAATCATAATATAAGCATATTTTTATCTGCTTTGCAAGTTTACTTAAGAAAAAAAAAGTGGATTTTGAATATTGTTTTTAACTTTACATATGAATGAATGAAACTTTACCGATTAGTATATCCAAAAATGAATAACGAAATTGAAAAAGTAAAAATAGCATTTAAAACCCTACTCTGTGCTTTAAGTAAACCTGCAAAGCAAGCAAAAATGCATTTAAAATATGTATTTAGAATGGTTAAATATATGTTAAAAAGTTTTATTTTATGAAAAGAATTTTTTTCGAAGTTATGTGATTTGCCTCACTTTAGACAACCTCTTTTTTAGGAAATTTTATGTTACATGACCAGAAATTAAATTTAGAAAAAACTGGTTTTTATGGAATGGGTATTACTATAAATGGAAATGATCAACATACCAGTGTGTCATGTGACAACAATTAAATACCTATTCATAAATTCTGGCTGAAATTAAATGATCAGTGAAAAAATTTCCTTTTTGGATTCTTGTGAAATCCAAAATTTCATTTTTGCTGAGAAAAGAAATAAAATTGCTTTTTGTGTAATGTTACTCATACCCTAAAAAGGATAATTCCATGGCGATTACTTAATTCTGGCTGAAATTATAATCAATTTGATCAATCCACAGATAATCCAATGATCTGATTTTTTTAATCCAGATTGATTTGTCACGTGATCATTCAGATGACGGATTGATCAGATTCATCCAGAACACACCTCTATTGGGCAAATTTTTAGGCAGATTTTGACAGTCACCTAAAAATTTTGGTTGTATCATTGTTAATAATAGTGATATAATCATTTAGGTGACAGATTGACTTTTTTTGAAAAAGTAATCTTATTTCATAATGCTTAATTTTTATATATATTTTATTTTTCTTATTGTTATAAATTTAATATATATAAGTAAGCGTAGTTATATTAAGACAAGATCACATCTATAATAAATAAATAAAAAAAAAATAAATAAATAAAATGTTTATAAAGATAAGAGATTAAATCTCCTACTTATAATATTAATAGAAAAAAATTATTGCAGTTTGATTTTTAAAATGTTAATAATACAATAAATCAAGTAATATTAGATGAAATTTATGTACAGTTACAATCTATCATTCAGCCTAAAGGATTCTATAATAATATGAAAAGTTTATAAAAATCTTTATAAATTAAGTAATACTATTAAGAATGAAAAGGTAAATATATATTTTATACTTATTATAAATCTATTTTTACAATTAAAAAAAAATATACAGCTTTAAATGAAGTATATATTTAATCAATTCTTGAAACTATATTTGATATTAAATATCTTTTCATAAACATTGTAAATATATGAACTAATAATTACTTATACAAAAATGGTGAATACTGAATAAATTTATATGATAGTTTTAAAGTTAATTACTAATGTTTAAAATATCTTTATATTCAGGATTCAAATAAATAATTCTATAAAATATTTGCTATTTATATTGTCTAATTCTAATATATATTTAAATAACATCTTTTTATCTTTGAACAAGTTGAATAATGATTTAAAAATACAGTAACACCTCCCTAAGTGCACGCACCTCAGGACTGACTATGCACGTGTACTTAGGGAGAGTGTGTATTTATAGAACAGCCAATAGAAAAATAGATTTTGTTACACAATTAGGTTTCTGACAAAAATTTTTATTTATAAGTTTTAAATTTTTTTTATTAAACTCAAATCCAAATAAAACAACATATTTTGCGAAAATTTAGTGAAAATATGTATTAATGTCAGTTTGCCGCATTAAACTATTTTTTTTGGCTCTAAAAAATTTTTCAATCTTTCCCACTATCTGTTTCCTTAAAAAAAAATCTTCTTACTATACTAATTTGGGATAATTAATCAAGTAAGATGTTCACACAGGACCGGAAAAACTATATATAAAGGTCACCGGAAAAAAATCAGAAAATCATATATATGTGAACCATCTTATGATTGGTCAATTGGCTATTTATTCACATGTTTTCACTCCAAAAACAGAAAAAGGAAAGATCTTCACTCAAATTTTCTTATTCTTGCGAACCAACACGTGACTTTTATTAATTATTTTTACGGTGACCTTTTTGAAAATTAAATATGGGTTCGAACCAAGAAAACCGGTGACCTTTATTAGTAGTTTTCCTGGTCCTGTTCACACGCTTGTAATTTACTCTAATTCATCTATAATTTAATTGATGATGTTATAGTAGTTAATACTAACGAATTTCATAGTCAAATGTAATTGCTTGTAACTACAAAATAAAAGTTTACTGTTATATAGTTCACCATGATTTCACTTCTAAATTGATAAATTAAATTAATTTAAAAATTAACCGTTATCAATGATTGGTCAAAATTTTGCAATAGTCACGTGAATGCATTTATGGAGGGTATTCTAGGTATTCTAATATACCCAGGACTCAGATTTGCTTGCACGTGCAAAACATAGAGGGAGTGCACTTAGCTTTAAGTCCCGAGCTCAGGACCAAGCTATGGAGTGCATATAGAGAGGGAATGCACTTATAGAGGATGCACTTATAAAGATGTTACTATATAATTATTACATATTTAAATTTTTAAATCAAACAAATTTGATATATAATTAATAATATTGTTAAAGTAGAAATGTAGTACAGTAATTTTATGTAGATCATTTTGTAGATCATTTTGTAGATCCCTTGATTTTTTGGATTTTCTTGATTTTCTTGATTTATTTGATAAATCTGATAAATTTGATTTATTTGATTTATTTATTTATTTGTTATATTTATTTTATTTATTTTATCAAATATTCTTAATTTTTATTTTATTATAAATAGTGTTAGGATTTTACTAAGTTGAGGTAATAAATCAGTTAATTTCACAGATAGTTAAGAATTGTATTGTAGTATTCGAGTTATATGAAAAGAGCATTATTTCCAGTAGTATAATTCAAAATAGTTAATTTTGCAACCAAGAGATTATCTATATTTTTTATCGTATCTAAAATCTTATATTATTTTAATAAAAACCTATTTTCTTTAACTGAACATCCAATGTTATTTTACATGACTACTTGTGATCAACTTAAAACTCTCCTATTAAGTTAAATTCCAGTTAACTTGTTAAAGTGTTAAAGTTTTTCAGTCAGCTTTAATTGTTGATAGGATAACAATCCCTATAAAAATGAAATGTGTTAAATTTGTGTTCATATATAAAAAATGTCCAAAAAAGCACCATTTTGTCCAATTTATGTCTTATTACAAAAAAACAAAAATTAAACAAAATGGTGCTTTTTTAGACATTTATTACACATGAGCACAAATATTAAACAAATTTAACTCATTTCATTTTTATAGGGAATATATACTACTCATTTATTAAATACAATATATATAAATTTATTTCAATTAAAATAAATGTATTTTTCAACTAATTATATCAACTATTTATATGTATTTTTCAACTAAATTAACATTATTAAATGCATTTTTTACTGTCATTGGCTACTATTGTTTTACTGTATATATTGCTTTATATGTTATTTTATATATTTTAAATGGTATTAGTTGACAAAAAGTTTATTACTTAATACCAAAAAGTATTGAGTAACACATAGTATTGTTAACACATTATATGTCTGCCCAAACTTCCTGATATATGTAGCTTCCTTAAATTAGGAGTTTTTGTAACTTATAAATATTATAAGTTAAGAAAAACTTAGTTAAGAAAAACCAAGTTTTTTCTTTAGCTATCTTCTGCTAAAAAATGGTCAAGCAATCAGTAAGTGAAAAATGTAATTGATTCTTATAAAAAAATATATTTTAAAATTTTAATTAGTATGATTTATATAATTTAAATATTATTACTTTAATTTCATCTATTATATCTTACTGATCAAAATGAATTATAAACATATTTTATTTACAAAATAATTTATTATTAAAGTAGTGGTATGGCTATAATTATAATAAATACTGCCCAATTCTGTTATTATTATTTGAATTTGGAATTTGGTACTTATGAAAAAATTTTGGAATTTGATTTGTATATTATAAAAAATTTTTTATACGAATAGTATTACTATAATATATAAATTATATAAAGGAAAAAGTAATTAATTAATAAGTTGAAATTATATTACTAAATTCCAAATTTGTTTAAAATTTTGCTAAGAATAATTATTGTCTAATGCAAATCCGCCGTAATACTTTCCTTGTACAAGATTTGCATATCAACACAAATTTTATTACTTGTGCCAGGTAAAGTATAAAAAGTTTTATTGGCTATTGTATTGGAGACACCTTTTCTGGATTCTCCCCTGCCCTTGTGGAGAATATTTTCTTTGATACGTTGTATACAAATCTAATTTCGCGTCCGAAAGTCTCTTTGTTGCTTATTCGCAACTGTACCTAGACCTTTGTCTCGTGCGACCTGGGACTGGTACTGCTTCTTGGTGACGACTCATCATACACTTATACGATGACTTCGCACTCTTTAGATGTTTATGGAAAGGGAACAGCTGTGTGGTTTCCAGACGTTAAAGAAGGCTGGACAAGCGCACAGCTGGTTTCAAAGGATGTATCTGGTGATAACGTAAAACTTACATTTTTAACAGACGATGGAAAGGTAATCTTCGTATTCACAAATTCCGTGTTGTGTATAATGCTCGGGAATAAATTTCTTTTCCATTCTTCGCTCTTATATGAAATTCAAATCTGAAGCGTTTTTTTCTTGATTCTGGTTAAGATTAAGTGTGTTTCGAGATAATAAAATTGAATATATTTTATAAAAAAGTTAAATTCAATCTATGTTCAAATTTCTCGTTGCTTTGTGTTTGTTAGGATGTAGTAATTGGAACTACTTTGACCAAATTGTCGAAAACAAATAATGCCGAATTGCCACCTCTGCGTAACCCTCCAATGCTTGAGTCTGCTGATGACTTGACCAGTCTAAGTTATCTTAATGAACCTGCAGGTATTTGACAACTTTTTGTTAATGATTAGACATTTTATCATATTAAATTATAAAATATAAGTTCATGTTAGGCAAATTATATTAATTTTATTAATTTTATCTATTTCATCAGTACTCCACACAATTCGTACGCGTTATTTACAGCGAAATATTTACACATATTCCGGAATAGTTTTGATTGCCACAAATCCGTTCCAATCTGTTTCTCTATATACGCAGGATATTATTCAGGCATATTCCGGAAAACGGCGTGGAGAATTAGAACCACATGTGTTTGCTATCGCTGAAGATGCATATCGTGCAATGCTTAGAGATGAACAAAATCAGACAATTGTTGTATCAGGCGAAAGGTAATTTAATTATTTCATGCGGTATATGAATTTATGAACTAATTAGTGCTAATTTTGTTTACAATTTCAGTGGTGCCGGTAAAACTGCTAGTGCTAAATTTATTATGCGGTATTTTGCGTCAGTTGACGACAAAGACAGATCACAAGATGTAAAGAAATCAAATGCTACGACTTCTGGCATGAGTGAAGTCGAAGAGCAAATTATGGGTATGATGATAACAGATCCTTATCAATAATTATATTATTAACAATATATGTTTATTGTTGCAATTTAAGTTTATAATACAGTACGTTGCATAAGTTCATATTAAAAATTTTTAAATATATTTTTATAGCTACAAATCCTATTATGGAATCTTTTGGTAATGCAAAAACGACCAGAAATGACAATAGTTCGCGTTTCGGCAAATACCTTGAGGTAAATAAATTTTCAATAGAAATTGTGTTAATATGATTTATTATTGATCACATATTGCTTTTAGATTCAATTCGATAAAAATCAAAATATCATTGGTGCCAGGATTAGAACTTATTTATTGGAACGGTCAAGATTAGTGTATCAACCAGAAACCGAAAGAAATTATCATATTTTTTATCAGGTAATGAAAATTTACTCTTCGCTTAAATTTGGTGTTATTTTATCATATTAATTATTTTGTATTAATTATTTAAAATACACAACTGTTAGCTCTGTGCTGGTGCTCCACCATCAGAAAAAAAGAACCTTGAACTCGGTGATTTTACCCAATTTCATTATCTGAAACAAGGTGGCTCAGGTACAATTCCGGGTGTTGACGATGCGGCAGAATTTGAAACCACACAGAAAGCCTTGTCTGTTATAGGGATAACAATTCAAACCCAATGGCAAATTTTTAAACTTTGTGCTGCTCTTCTACATATCGGTAATATTGAAATCACGGAAAGTCGTAATACAGCTATGGTTTCTGAAACAGATCAAGCACTTGTTACTGCAACAAAGTTACTTGGTATAAAAACGGCAGATTTCAGGAAATGGCTTGTTAAAAAACAAATAGTTACTAAGTCTGAGAAAATCGTTAAAGATCTCAACGCGCAACAAGCTAATGTAGTAAGAGACTCTGTTGCCAAATATATTTATGCCAACCTTTTCGATTGGTTAGTTAATGTAATAAATGAAAGTTTGTCTAATGAGGAAGTTGCTAAAAATGTTTCAAGCTTTATTGGTGTTCTTGATATTTATGGTTTTGAGCATTTTAAGAAAAATTCTTTTGAACAATTTTGCATTAATTATGCGAACGAAAAATTACAACAACAGGTTGGGAGATATACATTGTGAATATTTTGCTTCATGTCTTTAAATCTACTTTTTGATTTATTTATAAATTTTTCAATTGTTTAGTTCAATCAACATGTATTTAAATTAGAACAAGAGGTAGGAATAATTTATAGACTTTTTTCATTTTTATAATTAATTAATGTTATTTAAACTCGTAGGAATATGTACGTGAAAAAATCAATTGGACCTTCATTGAATTCAGTGATAATCAACCATGTATTGAATTGATTGAAGGTAAAATAGGAATTCTTTCTCTTTTAGATGAGGTAAAGTTGTTAATTTTACTTATACGTGTACAAAAGTGTATAATAATTTGGTTATTCATCTATAAGGGTTTATTATAATTCAAACATTTATTTAAATAGGAAAGTCGTTTACCAGCCGGTACCGATAGTTCTTGGTGTAATAAACTATATCAACATTTTGATAATCCTACACATAAAAAATATTTCCAGAAACCTCGATTTGGAAATTCAAGTTTTATAATTAGTCATTATGCACACGACGTAGAATACGAGGTGGAAAATTTCTTGGAAAAAAATAAAGATACCGTTCCAGATGAGCATCTCGCATTGTTAAAGAATACTGATTTTGAATTTTTGGATGATATTCTCACTAAAGGATCCGCTATAGCAGCTCCTGCAGCTAAGGTATAATGATATGATTTACTTAAATTAAACAAATCGTATGCTCCGCGATTTATTTTCATTAATAAAATTTTCATTTCTTAGCCCGATGCTAAACGTTCTAGCGTAATAGCAAAGAAGCCAACACTGGGTTCGATCTTCAAAGTAATTAAATGATTTTTTTTTTTTTTTGCTTTTTATTATAGTCAGGGTATTATTAAATGTGAAATCATTTCGATATATTTTTAGGCTTCTTTAATAAGTCTCATGGAAACTATTAATTCGACAAATGTTCATTATATTCGATGTATTAAACCTAATGAAGTTAAAGTAGCCTGGAAATTTGAACCTCAAATGGTTTTATCTCAATTACGTGCATGTGGTGTACTGGAAACTATTCGCATTAGTTGTGCTGGTTATCCGTCGCGATGGACTTTTGATGAATTTGTTCAAAGGTATTGATTTTTCAACTTCATTTTACTTAATTAATCAGCTCTTAACATATGAAAATTTGGATTAGATATTATATGCTTGTCCGTTCCAAACATTGGGGCCCAGATACCAAAAAGTTATGTTCTGTTATTCTGGATGATTCTATTAAAGATCCTGATAAATATCAAGTTGGCATAACAAAAATTTTTTTCCGTTCTGGCATGGTAAGTTTAAATAAAGAAAATATTATATATTTAAGTTATATACTGACATAAATATATATATACATATATTAGTTGGCTTACCTAGAAAGGCTCCGCTTAGATAGATTGAATGAATGCGTAACACTTATGCAAAAGAATATGTTACGGCATATGCACCAAAAGAGGTATCAGGCCTTAAAAGCAAGCACTATCAAAATTCAAGCGCTATATAGAAGACGTGTTGCAATGTCAGAGCTTAAACGTCTCCGTGAAGAAAAAGCGGCTATTACTATTCAGAAAAATTGGAGAAGGTATATTCAACGAAAACAATATTTACGTGCAAAGAAGGCTATACATAAATTACAAACAGGTAAAAATAATTCTTTTAAGTTTTGTTTCACATTTTAAAAGTAAATTAAATCATTTCTATAATTCATTAAAATTATAGTTGTTCGAGGTGTTATTGCACGACAGAAATTTGAAGTTTTGTGTCGCAACGCTGCATCTACTAAAATTCAATCTGTTTACCGTGGATGGTAATTTTTCTAATTCAGTATTTAAATTAAAAATTTAATAATTTTTTCCGCTGAGCTTTTCTATTTATTTTCTAAAATGTTAGGGTTGCGCGCCGTGATTATAAGATGACTTTGAAACGTATTATTTATATTCAATCATGCCTTCGTCGTCGTTTGGCAAGAGCTGAGCTTAAGGCGTTGAAAGTTGAAGCACGTTCTGCCAGTCACTATAAAGAAGTTTCGTATAAACTTGAAAATAAAGTTATTGAACTTACACAGAACTTGGAACAAAAATCTCAAGAGAATAAAACCTTAGAAACTAAAACGTTAGCTTTAGAAAGTCAAATTAAATCATGGATTGAAAGGTATGAAAAGTTGGAATCTGATTCTAATAATTTCAAAAGTTCAACAAAACAAAGTACAATTGGAATCGATGAATTCAAGACTCTTCAAACTGAAAAGGAGACACTTGAATCCCGTTATCGAACTTCCCTTGAAAACATCAAGAAGCAAGATACGGAGATTCAACGTCTTACAAGTGAAATAAGTAAAAAAGATGACGAAGTGGCACGGCTTCGTGCAACTGCAGCTAAATATAAGGGAGCTGAAGACCCTGCTACAGTGCTTGCTTTGAAACAGGAGATCTCTACTCTTAGAGAACAATTGACTAAAGTTAAAAGCGGTGTTAGAGGTACTTCGCCTCCGCCACCACATCGCCAAGAAAATGGCTTCTTGACAGCTGCTGGATCCTCTTCACTGAAACTTCCATCACAATCACGAAGACCTCGACGACACAGTTCTGCCGAGTCTTGGGGACCAAATGAAGCGGCCAGACGTAAACCCAAAACATCAGTTGATTTAGTTATGGCTGAAGCAAAGAAACCGGGATTAAGACCGGTTACCGTATCATATACTCAAATGAATGTTCCAAAAATTAAATCTCCAGGTGGCCGTGTTTATTTGCCAGGAGTTGAAGATGACCCAGAAGAAGAGGTAGGAGAATGCGGTTTTATACTTTTTATAATAATTAATTATATAATAATATATTGTAAATTTGGATATTTATCAGATTATGAAGCTTCTTGATGATGAAGATACTCTTGATGAAGAGATTATAAATGGGTTAATTAAGTCTCTGAAAATACCTCTTCCAAGTTTACAAAATCCCCCATCACAAAAAGAAATTCTTTTCCCGGCACGAATCATTAGTCTTTTGGCAAAACAAATGTGGAAATTCGGATTCATAAAAGAATCTGAAAGGTTATTTGCTAATGTAATGAAAACTATTCAAGAACATGTAATGGTAAGCATCAATTTTAGAAAAGAAAGATTTTTTTAATTAAAAACATATTATATCTTAATATTTAAGATTTTTTTAAATCTTTAGGATTTTGAAGGCGATGAAGCAATTCTTCCTGGTGCATATTGGCTTTCTAATGTACATGAATTATTATCATTTGCTAATGCTGCTGAGAGGGATATGTTGCGTGGAGTAAATCCAGCTGCTGAATCAGGAGGAAAAGCGTTTGAATGGCACGATTACGAAAGATTAGTATCTATTGTAAAACATGATCTGGAAAGTCTTGAATATAACATTTATCACACATGGATGAAGGAACTTAAAAAACGGCTATTCAAAATGGTTATTCCTGCAGTAATCGAAAGTCAATCATTGCCTGGGTTTATAACTAATGAGAATAACAGATTTCTTACAAAATTCATTACTGGGCCTACAACCCCTGCTTTCAGTATGGATGACCTTCTTAATTTTTTGAATAAAGTGTGGAAAGCTATGAAATCATATTATGTTGAAATGTCAGTAATTCAGCAAGTAGTCACAGAATTGTTAAAACTTATTGGAGTAACTTCTTTTAACGATTTATTAATGAGGTAATGTAATATTGTACCAATAATCTTATTCTTTGAAATATTTTATATTCTTTTATATCATATATGTATATTTTCTCCTTTTAGACGTAATTTCTGTTCATGGAAAAGAGGTATTGTTTGTCTTTGGTATTTATAGTTACTTCAAAATTTGAAATTTAAAAATTACTTTTATTTGTTTTAATCATAAAAATAGCAATGCAAATACAATATAATATTACTAGAATTGAAGAGTGGTGTAAGAGTCATGAAATGCCTGAAGGCACGCTTCAATTAGAACATTTAATGCAAGCTACTAAATTATTACAACTTAAAAAGGTATGAATATACTTTTTAGTTCAGTTTTATATATATACACATATATTTACTTTATATTATACTAGGCAACATTGGGGGACATTGAGATCATATACGATGTTTGTTGGATGTTGACTCCTACACAAATACAAAAACTTATAAGTCATTATTTCGTTGCCGATTACGAGGTAATCTTTACTAAAAATTTCATTCTATAAATTTATTGTAATATTTAATATTCTTTTTATAATTACAGAATCCAATAAGTCCAGAAATTTTGAAAGCTGTGGCTAGTCGAGTTGTAGCAAATGATAAAACAGATATATTAATGCTTGACGCAACTCCATTAGAGGATTCTGGCCCATTTGAAGTACCTTCACCACGTGATGTGGCACCACCTGATAATTATTTGCCTGCATGGTATATTTTATCACATGCATATATATATATATTTTTAATCAGTAATTTTAACTAATTCCAATTGAATTTTTTTAGGTTAAATTTGCCACACGTAAAACGTCTTGGGACTTTAGCAACATAAATAAATATACAGTCGACCAATATCGTCAATATCACGAAGTAGTTTTTGTATAATATATGAGAACCTTTAAATACGTCTTAGATAAATTATTGGTTGAAATTTTAATAATCTATATTATAGTTATAAATTAATAAGGTAAGTACTATAAAGTGTTATGAATTTATTTATGATAAAACAAAAATACTTTAAATTATTAAATTATTCATTTAAAATTTTATTATAATAATAAAATAAACAATGAGGAAAATACATTAATCAAAACTTAGATTGTAAATAAGTCCTGTTTATTGTACCTATTTTGAATCTTAGTAGGTTTTTAAAACCTTAGCATAAGCTTTCTGAAAGATTTTTACTGAGGCATTTGTCTGCAACTGATGTAAAGTTTTTATTTATATATTTATTGTATTTTACATTATAAGCATTAAAACATTTTACAATAGCAATACTGTTTTTACTCAATAACAACTTTTTCTCCGGCCAAAATTGAAAATGCAAAAGCGCCTGTAAAATACAAAGCTGAGGCAGTATTCCATATAATATTCCAGTTTTTCCCTGTAGAATCCAAGACCCATCCCGTTAATGTCAAACCTACAATGACTGGGATCATTCCTAGAGAATTGCCAAGACCAAAAATTAAGCCACTGTATCGTGGAGCAATATCCAACTTTTATAATTTTTTTTAACGTACATAAAATTAAAGAATGTTTGTTTGTTAAATTATATTGACCCGTGAACTTTACTAAAATGCAGGCTATATTCTTCACCTGGGAAACGGTTAAACCTGCAAGTGTAAAGGAATTTAATCCATTTCCGATAGTTATAAGGATAATTCCTTGTAATGGAGTCTTTGCTACATGTGTCGCCTTTTGTATGGAATACAAATAAATAAACAAATATTTTATGCCAAACTCTAAAATAATACTTGTTTACTTACTAATAAAAGGAATATGGCAATGCCACAACTACCAATGATCTGAGCAATTCGCCTTATAATAATAACACGAACTTTAAGTCTGTTTATAACATAATCAGCAAGTATACCAACAAAAAATCCAGATACTCCTTGAGCAATATAAGGAAGAACTGGCGGGTACAACACATAAAAAAAAAAAATATTATTATTATGTTTTTGTTCATATTACATATGTAATATTTACCTGTAAAATATCCTAAATATTTTATATCAACTCCGAAATGATCCAAGTAATAAGTAGGAAGCCAATTAAGCAGCATGAAGAAACCTCCAGAATGGCAAACGTAAGCGACTTTAAGGGAAATTTTGATACATAAAAATTAAAAATAAGAATAAGAATAAAAATAACAAAAACACGTTATTTTTTTTAAAAAAATTTTACTTATTATAGCCCACACTTCCCGTCTAGAAAAAATTAACCTCCATGGAATATGCGAAGGATTTGAATTTTTTATGGCTGTAAAAGATTCATCAATTTCTTCAGAAATTACATCGTCATCGTCATCACCATCAGCAACATTAATAACATCTTCACTACTTCTATTCATCGCTTCTTCTTCATCAGTAGGTAAACTAGAGTAATAAGATCTACTTTCTTTGTGATTATCTTTTAAAATTAAATCCAATTCTTCTTTTGAAATTCCCGGGTATGTGCTCGGGTCGCTTCCGCCATAGATTTGCCATATTAATGACCATATAACCCCAACAGTCCCAAACACCCAAAAAATACTTTCCCACCCCCAAGGACCGGACCCTAACCATGTGGATACAGGAAAAGCAATTATAGAGCCAAAGTGATTTGAACTCGTTATAATTGCAACAGCACGAGAACGTTCTTCTAGTGGAGCCCAAGACGCAATTAAGGAATGAACGGATGGGAAACAAGCACCCTCGGCAATGCCAAGTAGAATTCGGCACGATAGGAGGTAATTCAAACCTAACTTGGCAGCACTGGGCGTAAGTAAGGTAAAAGTTGTCCAACCAACAGCAGCTAAGTGCCGATAAAAAAAGGATAGGTTCCGTTTATCGAGTTTATTTTTTATCTACCGTAAACCCGTGACACCAAGAAGAATATTTTAACTAACAAATCATCCTTGCTCAATTAAAGTGTTCTTCAGAATACTCACCCACTCCAAGCACCCATTTACCGCCGAACTTATCCGCAAGCGCTCCTCCCAAAACTTGAGTTGTTAAGTAACCTACGAAGAATGAAGATAACACTAGTCCCTGAGTCGTGGAAGACCAGCCAAATTCTTTGGCCATATAAACAATGGCAACAGCTATATTAGATCGATCTTTTGGAGTAAATAAGCTATGAATATCATGTTTGATTCATAGTATTTAGATATATTAATCTTTAACCTGCATAATTAATTAAAATAGCGAGAGCACAGAGACCAAGTACAATTAAACGTCTGGGGATATACAAAGTCTGCCACTTCTTAAACGCGTTCATTCTGAAAAGAATTTTGGAGTATAGTTATCAATCTATTGTTTAGGTATTACCTAGAGGTGGAGATATCATTGGTTGAATGTCATTTGTCCTTGATAATTACAATTTTGTATATAAATCGTGATTTTTAATAAAATATATTTATTTATTTTTCTTTACTTTCACTTATATTTTATAAGAAAAATGAACACTAGATAATAGTAGAAAAAAAGAACTATTATATTAGCAGCATGTTCTTAAAACTGTAAAAAATTCAATGCTTCTTTAAAAATATTTAGAAAAGTTTTTTAATATATGACTTTGGTTATTTATAAATACGTCATATTTGACCATTTGCATTTCAAAGTACTCCTGGTTTTTCTGTTTCTTAATATGGCCTTTTAAGTTTTTTTAATAATAGATGGTTTTCTAATATAATAATACAGACTTCCATCAAATTTAACTAGGAAGAACTTTAGAATTACAAATATGTTATACAAAGTCAGTATATTAGTTTTATACCCTTTAAAGGCCAAAATATTAATGAAACTTGGGTCTTTTTCTTACAAAAAATCCCTTTATATTTGCGTGAGCAAGGTTAGATGAAGTTGTTTCGTATGAAATTTGATTTAGCCGAACAGAATTCTTATTGATAATCAAATTTCTGTTATACTACATACAACAAAAAATTTTTAAGCGGGGCAAATTTAAAATATCAATTTATATCACGTGATATAATTTAATAGTAACTTTGAATTGCTACTAAACTAGCCAGTATATTTTTTAGATTAGCCACCATTTTTTTGTTTGTTGGACATTTTCGGTGTTTCATACTATACAATGAGATAATCCATATATACGAGTTTTAGTTACACAGAGTATTTTTACGTTATTTAGTATTCATGGGAAAAGTATTTTTTCTTTCTTTTGAAAATGAAATTTTATTGAATTGTTTTTAATTTGTACTAGAAAAAAAAGTTTATGGTTTATTTAGAATAAATTAATATATCAGAAAATATCAGAATAGATTGATTTATTTTTATTTTAGTAATAATTGATTAAGGATGTATTGTTTGAATGAAATTTGAAAAAGGGAAGAAAAAAAGGGTTAAGAGAAAAAAAAAAGAAAATATTGATAATATTCAATTATCATTTTCTTCCGAAATTTCATTATTAGGAATCTGGTTCATATTAGTGGGAATAGGGTTCACTTCTAAAGCAGCAGATAGATTCTGGGTATTAGTTGATTCCATTTGAGTGAGGATGGTTTATCCATCCTCTTCGCCTTGACATCGCATCTCAAGAAGGATGGTAAGATCTATTATTATTAGATACTTGTTGATTCATCTAAGGAAAATTTGGGAATTGTTGAGAGGTGTTGTTATTTTGGTAGTACATGTTTTCCTTCAGTGGTTTCTTCTTATGTAATCTCATTAATAACCAGTGGAAGATAGTCAGTATATCACACCTACTAAGATCGCAGTTGTTGAACGTATATTTTAGTTAATTGAATTTGTTTTATTGGCCAAATATCTATTGTTAGGATCATGTCTAGCTTCAACCCAGAATTCAGTCGGTTCAAGATTTTCTAAGCTTTCTTCTATGTAGAAATTGAGAGTCAAATAGAGCTCCGAACAGGTCAGCCAAATTCAGGTAACCTGATCTGACCTGACCTGAAATTCAGGTCAGGTATGAGATTTTTTAAAAAAATTAAGGTCAGGTATGAAGATTGACCTGACCTGATTGACCTGTTGACCTGAAACTATTGATTCTACTATATAAAAAAGTGAATCGCAATACCGCAACTCACTTTTTTTATATAAAATCAATATAAAAAAGTGAATCGCAATATCACAACTCACTTTTTTTATACAAAATCAATATAAAAAAGTGAATCTCAATACCGCAACTCACTTTTTTATATTGATTTTATATAATAAAAGTAAATTGCAGTATTGGGATTCACTTTTTTATATGATTTTAATATAAAAATGTTGAATCGCAATATTTTGAAAAAAAACGTTGTGAAAACGTTTTTTCATAATATTATATTAAAAAATGTTTCGTAACGTTTTTTTTTTTTTTTTTAATAAAAAACGTTGTGAAAACGTT